TTCTGCCCATTTCTTCACTGGATTATTTGTTTTTCGGGTGTGGAGTTTGGTGAGTTCCTTATAGATTTTGGATACTAGCCCTTTATTCGATATGTCATTTGCAACTATCTTTTCCCATTCTGTCCCTAGCAACCAGCTTTAATAATTATCAATATGTTGCCAATCCTGCTTCCTTTGCCTCTGGCTCCACCCCCAGTCCACCCAAAAATACACACTCCACACACATACACATTTCTTCTAGCCACGCCACTTGAACACTCTTTTATATGCATCTTTAATAACATCTTTTTAAAAAAACATTCCAACTTCACAAAATTAACTTCAATTCTTAAAAACTACCTTATATCCAGTCTATACTCAAATTTCCCAACTGCCTCAAATGTCTTTTTTTTTTAATGTTTTCTTTATTTCTGAGAGAGAGAGACAGACAGTGTGAGCAGGGGAGGGTCAGAGAGAGAGGGAGACACAGAATCTGAAGCAGGCTCCAGGCTCTGAGCTAGCTGTCAGCACAGAGCCTGACGCAGGGCTCGAACCCACGAACAGTGAGATCATGACCTGAGCCGAAGTTGGACGCTTAACCGACTGAGCCACCCAGGCACCCCAAATGTATTTTTTTTATTATTGAAAATTCCAAACATACAAAAATAGAGAAAAAAGTATAGTGAATTCCTGCATACCCACCACTCAATTCAATAATTTAATACTCCCATCCCAGATTATTTTAAAGCAAATCCCAGCCATATCATTCTATCCGTCTACAGTCTGGTATACAAGATGTCCTTTCACAGTCTGATTCAGAATCCAAACCTCAGCAGAGTCTGAATCCAAACTGATTCAGAATCCAAGCCTCACACTATGCTTAGCTATCTTTAAAGTCTCCTTTATTTACATGTGCGTGTGGGTGTGTGTGTACATACACTAAAGAATCATTTTTATTCTCCCCTACCCTCACTTCTTCTTTTCCAAGGTCATTTTCTGTTGGAGATACCAGGGCTTTTGACGTGAAAAATGACCTTACCTTCTAAATGAGGCAGATTGCTTCCTCATGGTATAAAGTTCTGTTGCTCTATCTCCCGTACACGTTTTAAGCTGATAATTAGCTAAGCAGACTTGATTACATTCAGATTCGAATCAGATTCAGACACAAAACTTCATAGGGAGTGTTACATACTTTCCATTTCACCACATCATGAAGCACATAATGCATCTGACCCATTTTCAGTGATGTCAAGATTGATAAGGAATTCAGCTCATATCAACCTAATCCCTCCACAGTAGCATTCCCCATCAAGCTTTGACCTACTGGTTTTAGCATCCATTGATGGTTACGTATATCGATTACATAATTACAGGTTTGAAAAGAACAGTTTTCCAATGCATTATTCCCTTTGCTTATATTAATTTTTTTCCTTAAAAAACTTGACCATGTCAATATTTGGTTACTCTGAAATCAATGACTCTCTGCTTTTATCAATTTCTAGAATACTGAATTGGTGCAACTCCAGCAGTTTATTTCAGCATAATTATAAACTCGATCATACATGCAATGGCTTTGAGTCCCCTGTAGTTATTATTTTTTGGATGCCAACATTATTCCATCTCAGGCCAAAGAATCTCTTCAAATTGGGGGGCAGAGGTATATGTTTAAAAGAAGAAAATGCTGACTTTTCCTCAGTCCAGATTTACTGTGAGGCAGACCATCTGCATGACCAATACATACAGGAAAGAAAATATAGATCAGAAAAAAGAAATCCATGAACACAGAAATAGAATATATTAGGATAAGAGGCCAGCTAACACTGAGAAGAATTTTGACTGCACCAAGAGGAAATATTTGATTTTTGCCAGCTGAATCGTAGCACACATTCTCTCCATTCTACAAAACCTTTCCAAGTAATACATCCCACTGTCGACCCACTTCTACTACCCCCAACCTTACAGCTCTGCAGAATTACAGAAATTTCTCAAAATCCGTTTAAAAAGAAAAGTAATTCAGCCTCTTACAGTAACTCTCAGCAACAAGGAGGATCTTTCCATCCTCCCTTCTGTCCTTAAAAACATAAAATGTTCTCATCTTGCTGTCTGTCAGTCTGGGAGTCAAAGATAGGAGAAGGGATACTCTCAGAGACCACTCCACTTGTGTCTGTCTGTCCAAGCTGCGCTTGTCATTCTGCACGTCCTGCTATGAGCTGCTTATCGCTGTCCTTGTATCAAGGTAATCTAGAAAATCAATGCATGAAGGTGTCTCCTAAAACTTGTTATCCTGACGTGGGTAAAACTGCACGGAAACTGCTTTCATCACTATTTGACCCTTAAGAATCTAGGGACACACTGCTATTATCAAGGTAATACCCCTTCTCATTCAGTTGTCTCTTTGTATACACAGTATCATGGTTCCAGAATGACTGGATAATGCAATAAGGTCTACACAGAGGGACTTGTTCCAGGACACAAATTCAAATACATTGATAGTTCTCATGGGAAATTCCATGACTATGCCAAGCTTATTCCTCTAGGATTCGCTATGCAATAAACCAGGATCATGGGCAAAGACCACATGTCAAACTTCTTTGCGACCTGTCAATGTTTCTTACAAGTGAGACAAAGTCCCTGAGGATCTTCATGGTAAGTGAAGAGCTCAATATATTAATTCCCGAGTTTCCTCTTCTGAGGCTGCAGCAGTATACTCAGCATGATTTTCATAAATCTGCTTCATGCTAGTAAAGGCTCCCTATTTCATTACCACAATCAATAGCAATTGTGGATCAAGAGATGGTCTGAGGAGTTTTCTATCAGTTGCATATAAATTTATGTCAGCCGTTCACAGAAGTTCACAAGGCTGAAAAGCCTCTCTGGGAAAGGCTGGCATTTGATTTCAGGGATGGCCCTAGCAGGGTCAAAAAATCCCCCTTCCCATCCCCAAGTCCCCATTGCTTTCAGTTTTTGAAATCTGTTTTTGCCTCTGTCCTAACGCTCCACTTCTTCACCTCCCTCACAAGTACTCCTGGAGTCAGTGCAGGGCCCTCGCTCCAGAGGGGAGGGCCAGACTCCTCACACAGTAACTGATTTGTTCACAAACAGTGAACATAGAAGTACTGTAGGGTGAGTTGGTGCTTTGGGAAAGAAACCAGCGGTAACTGAGTAACAATGTACCAGAGAAAGTACTCCACTGCCTAACTTCTTCTCTCTCAAAAGGACTGAAAGAGTGACAAATTCAGAGATATTCAGAGTTCCATAGTGGTGCTGCAGAGCTCATGGACGAGGACATCATCACAAAGCATAATACTGCTCCATTTGGAGTATTTTGTCGAACTGGTGTGTATACCCATCATATTTTCTGCAGCAAAGCCAGAGTTTACATAGAACCTCACACATTTCAGATAGCCCGTATCATTGCCATGGTCATATACTGGACAGGTTTTCAAGGTAGGTCTACAGACACCAAAAATGATCTTCACCGTTAGATCTTTCTTCAGGGGTGATGAGAGAGTTAAAGAGCAATGAAATTCAAGGGTGAAAGAAATGTTAACCCATCCCGAACAAAGAAAATTGGGTATAAACAGCCATGGAAAGTATGCACAAGGCGTTCCACAATCTGTGATTTTCCCAGGATTCCTCTGTCACACATCTGGCCACCCACTGGCATCCCTGAGCCACAAGTAAAACTGCTTCTTTCCTCAGTTCAGATCTTTGTATGATCGATCCAGATAAAAGACAGCTCCAAGAATCTACTGTGGCTGACTGCCCAAAACCTCAGAAGCAAAATGTCCCACCTGGGTTTTGAACATGCATGAGGCCTTGTAAGCATTCCTCCTGCCCACATCTACTCAGCCTCTGCAATTTCCCCTTTCATCCCCAAAGGACAAGCTCAATGATCTCAGCCCCACAGTTATTTTTCAAAAGGAGTCTGGCAGCAACAGTGCAGTGGTACTCAAGCTCTCTTCGGTACTTCTCAGGCCTCTAAATCCACAGGCTGTGAGGAGACAGATGGGACTCCTAACCACCAAGTCAGATCTCTGAGTACAAGGATCAGCTTTGGTCACAGGCCGTCTTCACTGTGGGGGCACAAATACACTCCTCTGGCTCTGGTAGAGCCCAGGGTCCTGGACCATGTTGTCTGGCCTGCTTAGCTATTCATGGGTGCTGCTTATATATTTATTCCAGAGCCAAGTCTCATGTGCTCAGCAGGGACGCTACACAGCTCCCCCACCTCCTTCTCTATAGTCATAATGGTGTCTGCTTTGCAGGAATGGCGACTTAGCACAACTGGTGGAATCAGTGTTCTCACAGCACATCCACAGTTAAGTACACCTCCACTTTGTAGTGCCTGACAAACAGGCCATGCTCTCCTACTTTTCTGATTATGGCTTTACTAAACAGCTGCACTGATTCACTGGCTTATTCAAAGCCTCAGTGAAGACAGATACACAATCAAGTTCAACAATTACATGTTATTTTTAGATGTGACTAACAGGATTTAAAGAGTCTACAGTTATCTATGAGCCCAGAAACAGGCTGTTCCCACTATGTGCGTGTGTGCGTGCATGTGTCCCAAGTGCCTACACCCATATACTGTTTCACTGCTTAGACAACAGATTGTCAATCAAATACCAGCACATCCATTCCCCAAAGCGCAAGCCTGGAACCCTTGGTCTCCATACCCAGTCGCTCTCAGCAGCCTCTGCCTTTCACCACCTCCTCAGTGGAGCAGGCCCAGCCCAGACAACTACCACACCACACTGCCCTGTGATGCCATTAGGTATGGTCCTAAGAGCCATAGCAGCTTCGCTGCTTCCTGGCACAAGACATTGTGGGCTCACCTTTTCCATCTCCCCTAGACCTGGAATCAGCCATTTCTCCAAGGAGTCATGAACCCTCTAGTAGAAAACAGTATTAACCTGGATAGTAAAACTGTTCAATGGTGCTCAGCTGTCACTGATTCTATGCCTTGTATTTAGACTAAACTTACATGCAAGCCTGGCAATAAAAAGGAAACTTACAGGCAAAGGAAACAGCTTCCCATTTACTTTTATACATAGACTATTGGGATAGTTGTCTTCTTGAGGGCAACTTGTCTCTGCCAGGCAAAGTCTGCATTAAGAAAAAAAAAATTATTCTTAAAGAGTGTACCCAAATATGTTTACATATTCCCAAGTTCAGGATTATATGCACATAGTTAGCAAGTATAAAATTAACAGAAAACTTTAAACTTACCTCAGCTGAACCTGGACTGTATAATCTCTCCTACCACCTGGCAAAAAATCCCTGTTGGAAAGAGAAAGAAACTGGGTTAAGAAGGTAAGACAAGAATTCACAGGAACATTCTCACCAGAAAAAAAGCGTTATTAGTATTTTTATTCTTATCCCTGAAGATGAACAATATCCCACCAACAGCACAAGCCTTAATCAAAACACTGTTATGATGACAACCACCATTCACTTAACATTTGGTCATGCCCTTACAGCAATTTTAAGGTATTTTCAATTCACAGGAACTTTTCAAGATGCAGTGTTTATTTCAACAGGCAACCAATCCAGTTAACATGAGGAGGAGCACCCTCAGTTCTAGAAGAGTTTAAAAAGTTAATGTTTGCTTATAATGGTTCTTAACCCTGGTTGACCATTATAATTATGTGACTTTTTAAAATATAAAGACTTGGGGCGCCTGGGTGGCTTAGTCGGTTAAGCGTCCGACTTTCGCTTGGGTCATGATCTCGCGGTTCGTGGGTTCGAGCCCCGCGTCGGGCTCTGTGCTGACTGCCAGCTCAGAGCCTGGAGCCTGTTTCAGAGTCTGTGACTCCTTCTCTCTCTGACCCTCCCCTGCTCACGCTGTCTCTCTCTCTCTCCTAGAAATAAATAAAAATAAAAAATTAAAAAATTAAAAAAAAATAAATAAAATATAAAGACCGATTCACCAGATGGTCTACTGGTCTGCAATACAGACCAAGCCTTAGTTTTCTACAGCAGGTGATTCTTATCTAGAACCAAAACGAAGAACATGTTCCTAGAGCCTTAGCCTCTCTGTACCACAGCAACTTTATAATTAAGCATCCAATTAAGGACACAGAAACTCTTAGAATTTCTAGAAGACAACCTAGTGGAGTCCCATATAAAATGTTTTTGGCACTGAACCTTCCAAAGCCTTGCCACCCACTGCAGCCCACAACACAGCAGTGCTGTGACTGTTCAGGGGAGCTTGTCGGAAATGCAGCACCCCAGGCCCACTACAGACCTATAGACCTACAAAATTAGAACCTGTACTTTCCTATGACCCCACGTGATGTGAATGCACGTTATACTGTCAGAAGTAAATTCTGGGACTCTGTCAGAGAGAAGAATACTAGAAATGAGTCCCTTGTTGAGAAGGCATTCAGCCCTCACCCTGCTCCAACTGGGTCAGTCTTCTGCTTCACTATGTTCGTTGGAAGGCAGTAGAGCACAACAATGACCAGCTTGAGCTCTATGGTCCCAAACTGTGACCTTGGGCAAATTACTCACCTGTCTCCCACTGTTTCTCCCTCTGGGAAGACTGCTGCACCTACCTCATGGAGGAGCTGTGCTGAGTAAATGTGTTAACAGCACATGCCAAGTGCCTGGCCGGAGAAAGTGCCCAACAAGTGTGAGCGGCCAGCTGCTACCGTTATTAACTCTGCTAGCGTGCTCCCTTGCCAAGAGCCTCCACTCTTCTCAAATGTCTATTCAGAACCTCCCCATATCCTAGACAACACTGACCTCTTGTGAGTAACCCGTATCATTCCACTCATGAAAACCGAGAAACATTTCACAGTCTGGGTGCTGGTTCAACCAGTAGGTAGTAGGTAACAGATACACATGACTAAAATAAAATGTGGTAAAGGTTCCACTAAATTTTGAAAAACAAGTGCTACAGAAAAGACAGAAGTTTAACTCTGACTTAAATGTTCAAGGCAGGGGGGCGTATGGGTGGCTCAGTCGGTTTAACGTCCGACTTCAGCTCAAGTCATGATCTTACAGCCTGCGAGTTCAAGCCCCGTGTCAGGCTCTGTGCTAACAGCTCAGAGCCTGGAGCCAGCTTCGGATTCTGTGTCTCCTTCTCTCTCAGCAACTTCCCCGCTTGCTCTCTCTTGCTCTTGCTCTCTCTCTCAAAAATAAACATTAAGAAAAAACTTAGGGGGTTCGTGATTGGCTCAGTCAGTTAAGCAACATCAGTTCAGGTCATAATCTCATGGTTTGTGAGTTAGAGCCCCACAATGGGCTCTGTGCAGACAATTCAGAGCCTGGAGCCTGCTTCAGATTCTGTGTCTCCCTCTTTCTCTCTGCCCCTCCTGGCGTTTGCTCACTCGCGTTCTCTCTCTTTCTCCCCCCAAAATAAATAAACATTAAAAAAAAATTTTTTTTAAAGTTCAAGGCAGGGGGGCCTGGGTGGCTCAGTTGGATAAGTGGCTGACTCTTGATTTGGGCTCAGGTCATGACCTCACAGTTTGTGAGTTCAATCCCCATGTTGGGCTCTGCACTGATATGTGGAGCCTGCTTGAGATTCTCTCTCCCCCTCTCTCTGCCCCTCCTCTGCTCATCATGCTCTCTCTCTCAAACATTTTAAAAAAAATTTTTTTTAAGTTCAAAGCAGTTATCACAATTAACAATTAGTCCAATAAAACTAGAAAATCAGGTTTGCACAACAGTGGCTCTGCCTACTTCTATTCAGACAGACTTCCATCAGTGACAGTGGCCTCACCATTGCAGTGATTCTCAGCAAAAACAAAAACAAAAACGGGGGGGGGGGGGATGGTGAAGACCAACCAGATATATATAACAAAATCTTGCTGGGGGGGGAAACAGTTTGAAAAAAGAGAAATGGCAAAAGACAGAACTAGAAGGATAAATGGGTGAATGATATAAAGGGCTTTAAATAGCTTGTTTAAGGATTTATACTTTATTCCAGTAAGGGAAATTAACATAAACTGGGAAGTGCAATGTGCTATATATCTTCACAAAATGATGAGTAATAACTAAGCATCTTCTGACATTCAGTTTCTACCAGTCACTGTTCTAGGAACTTTCACATGCTCACCCCATTCACCAGATATAAAGCAGGCATTACTATATGCCAGGTACTGTGACAGACTCTGAGAATATGAAAATGAGTAAGATGTTGCTTTCATCAAGTTTGTAAAATTCAAGTACTCAAATAAACGCAAAGTGGCTTTAATAGGAAATATGTACAAAGTACAATGAGAGACAGAGTGTGGGTTGGGGGAAATCTAGAAAGGCATCACAGAAGAGCTAAGCTTTGAATTGGGCCTAAGATATACCCCAGAATAGGGAGGAAGAGGATATGCAAAGGGACAGAGCTGTGACAGCCCAGTCCAAGTATAAGCTGCCGGGGAGATGTGAGGATACAGATGATGAGCAGAACAAGAAGTTGAAGACAATTGCCAGCCAATGGAGTGTGAACTTTACAAAGTGTCACTCCAGGATTTTTAAGCAAAAGAGAGAAAAACTGAATGGGCTTTAGAAAGATCACAGGGTCAGCTGGGAGAGTCAGGGGACCACTGCAACTATAGAGGCCAAGATGAGGGCTTGAAAAGTATTTAAATACAAACATCACTGAGTGATATTTAGGCATAAACACTGACGGGATTCAATGACTGACTGGATACAGGAAGGATGAGGGAAGGGGAGCATCTAGGCTGGGCCCCAGTTTTGGAATGGTGCCACTGGACTGATGCTGCTGTTACTCACCAGATTAAGAGGTAAAGCAAATTCTGGCATTCAATGCCCCCAACCACTGAGTAAGGTAATGATTACTTTTTTTTTTTTTTTTAACACACTGAGTAAATAAGATTCAACAGGCTTTAGTAACTAATGTGAAAAAGAGTAAGGATGACAGAAATGACATCACCGAACACAGAATGTTAGGACAAAGTAACTGCCGAAGCAAAGAGCCATCAGAGAATGCTGAACTGGTGGACAAAAATCTGATGAAAAACAGAGTATGTGCCTTGTCTCAAAGTATCTCCCTCAAGATAATTACTACTAAAAAAGGAAACACCAGCAACTTAGTTTTTCCAACTTAGATTTTAGTGCCAAAATCTAGTAAAGAGTACCTTACCCTAGTGATGGAGGTTAACAACACCAAAAATAAGATATAGCAATTTTATGCAGCCCAATATGACACATTAAGAAGGGCATATAACCGGAGGTATTCTTGCCAAAAATGCACAATCACATGACAAAAAATCAGACAAACCCAAATTGAAAAATATTCTACAAAATACCTGGCCAGTACACTTTAAAAGTATCAAAAGTTATGAAAAACAAGGAAAAACTAAGAAACTATCACAGACTGAAAGAGACTAAAAGGATATAAACAATGAAATGTAATTTGGGATCTTGGATTGGATCTAGGAAAAGAAGTCCATTAGCAGAAAAACTGGTGAAATCTGAATAATATTTATAGTTAACAGTATTATACCAACATTAATTTTTTGGCTGTGATAACTATTCTCATGGTTATGCAAGATCCTACTATTAAGAAAAGCCAGGTAAAGAGTGTATCTATTCTCATAATTTTTCTATCAATCTATAACTACTTCAAAGTATAAAATTTTTTTAAAGTCTTGGGAGACAAAGTAGTCAAAAGTAATTACATGGGTCGTGTTTAAATTCTGAAACCACTGAGAAATTTGAATAGGAGCTGGCCATTGTTTTATATTAAAGGATTATTCATTTTACTGTGATTAGATAAAGAATGGATTTGAGGGGCGCCTGGGTGGCTTAGTCGGTTGAGCGTCCGACTTTTGCTTAGGTCATGATCTCACGGTTCATGGGTTCAAGCCCCGCGTCGGGCTCTGTGCTGACTGCCAGCTCAGAGCCTGGAGCCTGTTTCAGTCTGTGACTCCCTCTCTCTCTGACCCTCCCCTGCTCACGCTGTCTCTCTCTCTCTCCTAGAAATAAATAAAACATTAAAAAAAAAAAGAATGGATTTGAAATGTGTCCTGGGGTATTTCTAGCTGAAATTATATGATGCTTGTGATCTGCTTTAAAATATTTCAGGAAAAACAGGTGTAGGGGTGTCCACATACAGATTGTCAAAATGTTGATAATCACTGAAGTTGTTTAATGGGTACCCAACTTTCACTTCCATTTATTAAGAAGAAGGAGATACTGTATTATTTAATTATACAACTCAGAAAACGTTGGGTTTTGTCTATACATGTCTATAGGCAATCTACCTTTTTTTCCTCTGGAAGGAGGATTACAAATAGTTTTATTTTTTTTTTTAAGTTTTTATACATGACATACATTAAGATAAGATTTACCATGTTAACCATAAAGTGTATAAATCTGTGGCATTAAGTATACTCACACTGTTGTGCAACCACCACCACTATCCATCTCCAGGACATGATCCAAATTTTTAATTGAGATTATTTAAATTTTAGTCATTCATTTTTTGACTACTTAATAAATTCACATAGTTCAAAGTTCAGAAAGATACAGAATGAATATAAGGTGAAAAGAGTATCCCAACTCTGGCCCTAGCCATCGAATTCCCCTGTCCAGAGGCAGTTGATCATACTTGTCCAGACATATTTTAGTCACTTAAGCAAACTACACACATACACACACACCCCTACACACCTTTTTAGGGCAACTGGTTGTATATTATTCACATTTTGATGCCTTGTTTTGTTTACTTGAAATGTATCTTTAAATCTGTATCTTTAAATCTACTTACTCTAGGGGCACTTGGGTGACTCGGCCAGCTAAGTATTTGACTTTTGACTCAAGTCATGAATCATGATCTCACGGTTGGGGAGTTCAAGCCCCACATCAGGTTCTGTGCTGACAGCGTGGAGCCTGCTTGGGACTGACTCTCTCCCTCTCTCAATCTCTCTCTCTCTCTCTCTCTCTCTCCCCCTCCCTCCCTCCCAGTCTCTCTGACTCTCCCCAATGGCAATCTCTTTCTCAAAATAAATAAATAACCATTAAAAAAAAAACTACTGACTCTAGGGGTGCCTGGGTGGTTCAGTTGGTTGAGCGCCTGACTCTTGATTTCCGCTCAGGTCATGATCTCACAGTTTGGGAATTCAAGCCCTGCAGCAGGCTCTGTGTTGACAATATGGAGCCTGCTTGGGATTCTTTCTCTCCCTCTCTCTCTGCCCCTCCCCGACTCGTGCATGCTTTCTCTCAAAACAAATTTTTAAAAATTTAAAATATAATTTTAATAATATAAACATAATTTTAAAAGTTTTAGTGTATTTATTTGTTAGTTGGCTTATTACTATCCCCAAGATTTAAAGTATTTCTATTGTACAAAAACTCACTGCAGTGTCTTACCCTTGGTGAGAATGAACCATTTTATTTCTTTGATAAGTTTCTCCATGTTTTCTGAAACTACTATTTGGATATTGGATCTTTTGGACTAATCCTTACACTGTCTTTTTTTTTTTTTTTTTAATCTTAGTTTTTAACACTCTTCCCCCTTTGTGGAAAAGGCGGTCTATTTAACACAATACTCTTTGAGAGTTCAAACTTTACAGGGTCAGAACATACAATCATTTTGAGATTCTGACAACAGCACTCTCTCTATATATATACTGATAAAGGTGACATGATTAAGGAAAGAATCTCAAACCTTGTCCCAGACTTTTCCACGGAAAGAGAACATCTTCAAGATGCTACTGTGCTTAAAAGAGACATGAGGCCCCTACGTTTGGATTCACCATCTTGGGGGATTAGCAATGAACATGAAAATGTTAAAGACCAAAAAGTCCAACTGTAAAGAACTTATGTAATGGGGCTGAATACAGAATTTTTCAAACTTTAAATACAGAATCCTTATTTTTGTAAATTAGTAACAACTCAGAGAAGATGAGCTTTCTAATGATCAGCTGAAAAGAGGCAAAAAACTCCTCTAATTTGCTCAATTCTTTATTTTACTTTTAACTTTACAATTCTAGGAAATCATTTAACCTCCTAGAGCTTCTGCTAAATCTTTAAGAATGTAAACAGCCATGTATTATTAATGCCTAAGACGGCTATATTTTTAATTGGAAAAGTATATACTATATATTTCCTTTTCTTTCCTCTTACATCTTAGTTCATTTGCTCTTCACATATGTGTCTATTTTAAGTTTCTTCAATTTTTCTAAATGGCAAAGCTAAGTATTTTTCATAATTGTTTTCATATTTCCACTAATTTTATGGTCCAGGTAACCATCCAGCTCAAAGTTCTAACTCCAGTTTGTTTGTTTGTTTGTTTTAAGTTTATTTATTCTTTGAGAGAGAGAACAAGCAGGAATGGGATAGGAGCAAAGGGAGAGAGAGAGGATTCCAAGAAGGCTCCATACTGTCAGCACGGAACCCAACACAGGGCTCAAACTCACGAACCGTGAGATCATGACTTGGGCCAACATTAGGAGTCTGACACTTAACCGACTGAGTCACCCAGACACCCCAGAACAGTTCCAGTGTATTAATAAATTTTCTGGGATAAAAACATGACATCTACTTTAACTCTTAAAAGTGCCTCAGTTTGGATGATTAAGTTTATGGACGTCCTACTCTGGGCTGCTGTCACAAATTCTTTTTTATGTTGCTATATTTGAAATAAAATTTTCATTAAAAAAGTTATTGCCAAAAAGTAATTCAAAAAATAAGATGGGGTTTTAGTCAAAGGTTAAAACTGTTTTCTATTTACAGAGTATTTATTACATATTTGGCTAATGTTAGTCATGCTTACTTAAGGAACAACAGTCCAACTGTTGTGGACATTTGTGAAGATGCGAACTTTAGAAAGGTAATTATGGGGCGTCTAGGTGGCTCAGTTGGTTGAATATCCGACTTCGGCTTAGGTCATGATCTCACGGTCCATGGGTTCAAGCCCTACATCAGGCTCTGTGCTGATAGCTCGGAACCTGGAGCCTGCTTTGGATTCTGTGTCTCCCTCTCTCTGTCCCTCCTGCGCTCTCTCACACACACAAACTCTCTCTCAGAATAATTAATAAACATTAAAAAAAATTTTTAATAAATAAATAAAAAGATAATTACGGTTAAATAAGGTCATAAGGGTGGGGCCCTAATCCAATACAACTGGTCTGCTTAAAAGACAAAGACACCAGGGATGCACAGACACAGAGAAGAAAGGTCAAGTGGGTACACACAGCAAGAAGGCATCCTCATAAACCAAGGAAAGAGGCTTTGGGGAAACCAACTCTGCTGACTCCTTAATCTTGGACTTCAAGCCTTCTGAATTTTGAGAAAATAAATTTCTATTGTTTAAGCCACCGACTGTTATGCTTTGTAATGGCAGCCCTAGAGGACTAACATAAGAACATTCACGAAGAAACATCACATATTCCAAACATTCCTCTTACCTGGATATGCATATCTCTCGAACTTGCTGAGGTGTCAGAGCAAAAATAAAAAACTTCTCTTGAAATCGCTGAATACTGCTTTGAACTGGGAAGAAAGAAAAAAAAGATAACATTCCAATATCCAGTATCCAAAAGGTAACAAAGCTGTAACCATCTGCAATAACAATGCACTTCTGATAAAGTCTGCCAAATTCTGGAATTTTTATGGTTAAAATACTCCAAAATAAATAAGTACTAAATTACAGTCATCTTGGAATCATAAAAGTCAAGTCACTCTAAAGTACACTCAATTTTAAGCATTTAGTCACTATTCTATCAGACTAATTATAATAAGGTCAAAACATAGCACAACTCTTCAAAATTACATTTCATCCTACTGACTCAAATGAAAACCTGAAGTCACAAACTTTCCCCAGATTGCTATCCCAGACTTAGGTGTCTTTTGGTCTTTTGTTTGTTTTGTTTCTTTCCTTGTTGTGTTTTGTTTTCGACCCTTTATATTCAGTTACACAGAGTATTCATATAAGATAAAATTTTAAACTTTAGCTTCTAAATTGAAAAACTTAAGACATACAATAATTATTTGCATACAGATTATCTAGTTTAAAAATTACCTAATGAAGCTGTCCTTAACTGTATTAACTGAAATGTATTTACTTCAAAAAGAACTTTATAACAGATTATCCTGATTCAATGATATTCTAATGCTCATTAAAACAAAACAAAGCAAAAGCTAATATAGAGACTTCTGCTTCCCAACAAGTACTGCAACAACGCACAAAAAAGGGCAAAATGGCTCTCCTATGTGTTCCTGGTCACAGTTTTACTGATACATAAATGAATGAACAAGATGCCAGTTGAATATCCAATGTCAGAAAACTTCCTTCAACAAGTCACACCAAATCAAGAAAATTATTAATTTGAGTAAAATATTTTTCCTTAAAGGGCATAATTCAGTGTAACGATTATGCTCCTAGAAATCATGTCATAAAGGGGCTCGTATTTTCCCAGAACATTTAAAAAAGGAGGGGAGAGAAAGGAAGGCTATTTATGATGAAGGCCTAAGAATTAAACAAAACTCTATGAAGCAAACAACTCAAAGGCTGCTACGGTGGTATGTCCGTCCATTTCTTCAATTCCTATTTACTTCTCAACTCTTTCCTGTGCAGATTCCATTTCCCACTCTCTATCCACAGTTAAGTTCATCAATGACCTCTTAACTGTCAAATTCAGTAACATTTACTTTGAGATCAGAGGTGAACACTCTGCATTTTCAATCAGAGTTAATAGTATAAGCACCCAGCCTCTCCAGCCAGAAACCTCAAAAGGTCTAACAGGTACAAATGGAGTCCCAGAAGAAGAAAACAGCATTAAAAAAAAAAAAAAGTTGCTGAAAGAATATTACATAACTGATTTGGGGGAAGCCCTTACAGGATCAAACTTCAAGCAAAATAAATACAAAGAAAGCTACCTAGTCACATCAAAATCAAACTGCTGAAAACCAATTATGACTACAAAATTTTGAGAGCAGAGAAAAAAAGAAACATTACATACATGGGGAAAACAATACAAATAAAGGCTGACTTCTCATCAGAAGCAACATAAGCCAGAAGTCATCTTCAAAGTGGTGAAAGGAAAAACTGTCACTGAAAATTCAATGTCCTTCAAAAACAGGGTGAAATAATGACTTGTAGATAAACAAGGCCAAGTTAATTTGCTGAAAGCAAGTAATTACTACATGAAATGTAAAAGGAAACTTCCAGGATAAAAAGAAATGATACCAAATTCAAAACCAAATTTTCAGGAATGAAAACCAACACAAATAGTAAGTAAGTGGTAAAGGTAAAAGAATACACTGTTTTTTCTCATGATTTTCTTAAAAAGATAACTGTTTAAAGCAAAAGGAATGGCACAGAGGGGCATCTCTGTGGCTCAGTCGGCTGAATGTCTGACCTCAGCTCTGGTGGTAACCTCACGGTCCACGGATTCAAGCCCCGCGTCGGGCTCTGTGCTGACAGCTCAGAGCCTGGAGCCTGCTTCGCATTCTGTGTCTCCCTCTCTCTCTGCCCCTCCTCTCTTGTGCTCTGTCTCTCTGCCTCTCAAAAAAAATAAACATTAAAAAAAAATTTTTTTTAAAGGAATGGCACAGAAAGGCAGGACTTTTATCACAGGTAGAAGATGCGACAATGGCAAAAAGGATAAATAAAATTATCTGCCCAATGGCTGTGATTCTTACTTCATTCTGATAAGCCTGATTAACACAGATCTCCCCAGAGACAGATCCACTCTTTATGCACTAAAAATGTCGGATATCTACAACTGCAATACTGGGTGCAAGACCTTTCGTCAATTCACCCAGCACAAATGTCAGTACGTGAGGCCTTGACTGGGTGACTGGAGTCAACCTACCCAGAAGAGTACCCATATACCATGAAACTTACATTGAAACTGGAATGCTTCCATAATCAGCATATGCCAACATGTACAATTTACAGAACCTACAGCTTACTGTTAGCAGTTTATATCTTAAGTTTTTGCAGAGCCTTTTATTTTTCTGACATAGTTTTCGCCAGTTTATTTGATGCCCAATTTCTGTCCTTTAAAACGTAATACCAAATAACTACCCTGTTTCTATGGGAAAAAAAAAAGTTTCATCATTGTATACCATAACTGAACTCCAGGAAGTTACAGCAAAAAACAGTGCGTATGCTAATAAAATCCAATTTGTATTAACAGTGACAACACAATTTTATAACAGAATAGCAACCAAAAGCACACAGAATTTGCCATAAGGTAAATCTATTAGCTAAACTGTCATTTTAATACAAGTCAGGAAAAAGAATGGTAGGTTATCAAGCAAAAAGATACAGGTTTTACAGTGTATTTTCTCTGCAGTAGTGTCCCCAACTCGGGATCAGAAAACCAATTCTACACTGATCCCATGAACACTTTCATGTTAACAGCAGCAAATGAAAAATGAAAAAGACCATGACTCAGGGGCATGAATCAGGTATGACTATGGTCAGGCCCTTTCCTTTTTAAACAATCTTGCATAAGGTAAATTCTATTTTTCAAAGACAGCTACAACAATATCTTCCATCACACGCTTCTTATAACCTTGACATTCTTCCAGTGAAGTGGTAGGGTCTCTATTACCCTCCCTTTGAACTTGAATGGCCCATTGTGACTGCTTTAATCAATAGTGTAGGCATACATGACACTATATAATTTTCAAAGCTAGATCATAAAAGCACCATGCACTTCTTCTTTGCTCCTGAAACCCAGCTTTCATGCTCTAAAGATGCCCAAAAAAGACCAGAAGAAAAAGCCTTATTCAGGTACTCTAGCCAACATAGCATCACACATGCGTGAAGATGCCTTCATATAATTCCCGCTTCTAACCATTAAGTCACTCCCAGCCCTTAAGTTGTCTCAGCTAAGACCCCAGACATCTTGGGGTTGAGACAAGCTATCCACACACTGTCCAATTCCTAACACATAAATTCCATAAACATAAGATGGTTGTTTCATATCACTGTACTTGGAATGATGTTTTATACAAGTAAAACTATGCCACAATTTCATAAAGTTATTTTCTCGTTAATCTTGTAAGTTCCAAGTTCTATCATGATGTCCAGCTTCATTTGGAATTACTAACTGATGAGGCCTTGCTGATATGACATATTATTTATGACTACTCTACCTTTATGGATACTGTTTCCTTCCACCTTTTGAAGCATTAATGGACCAGAATATTCCCGTATCCTCATCTTAGCCCTAACTGGTTACTATCCAAGTGATATAGGAAATTCACGGAAGATCTCCAAGTCCTTCCTCACTCAACTAAAATGGGAATAACATTTTGCTCATCTGCCTCTTAATGGCTGTTTTTTGAATCAAATCAATAATATATGTGAAAGGATTCCGATAACATGTGATATATTTTCAGTTCCAGAAGTCCTATTAATCAAAAGTTTTCAAAGAGATAGCAAAATTTCAAGAGGGAAAAAAAAAAAACAGTCCAACAGATGCATTTTGCCAGCTATTCAATAATAATGAATTCTTCTTGGTAAGATTTTCAGGTATAAAATATTGTAACATGATCAAAAATGTGAAATATTCTTAGTAAAATAAGAAACTTCCCAAGTTTCCCCACTGCAGAAAGTAGACACCTTTTACATAAAGGTGGACACCTTTTGATAAACTGGTTTATACTTGGTCAAGAATGCTTCCTAGCAGTGAGTGCCTAGGTTAACAGGGGCTTTCCCACTGAAGAAAGAGATAAACTAATGTTTTATAGGCAGCTTTGTGGATTATCATGGCTCAGTCTAGCTTATTTGTAAATAAAATAACTCATAAAGTAACAATGAATAAATCAGTTTATTACACTGCATTATCTAAGATCTGTATCCTGAGCTATTTGCTTCCCTATCACCCATCAATTAACTGTACCATCACTGCCAATCAAAGCATACTCTTGCCTTACTTCTTTTCCCATCAGATCTCTGCATCAAAAGTAGAGGGGAACAACCTCCATGTGTATAAAATACACAAAACAAATACAAAGAGTTATAATAGAAGAAATAAATATAAAGAGTTCTATATTTACAAATTATTCATTTTTGATCATTTGTTGGTTTTTTTTTTTTAACTTTTTTTTTTTATGTTTTATTTATTTTTAGGAGAGAGAGACAGCGTGAGCAGGGGAGGGTCAGAGAGAGAGGGAGTCACAGACTGAAACAGGCTCCAGGCTCTGAGCTGGCAGTCAGCACAGAGCCCGATGCGGGGCTCGAACCCACGAACCGCAAGATCATGACCTAAGCGAAAGTCGGACGCTCAACCGACTAAGCCACCCAGGCGCCCCTGCTCATTTGTTTCTTAACACACAGGACGTAACAGGCACATAGAATGCTTTCGATAAACATTGGACTAAATGATTCTACATTCCAATATTCAACAAACAGTTATCACTCCAAATTGTTTTATGTGAATACTTTTTAAATGATAATTCTCCTATATACATACCCAAATTTTTCTACTTTAATGATATTTACTCAGAAACCTGAGTCAGTTAAAAGAATTTTA